AACCATTACCCGAAAATTGGCTGCATATAAACGTAGTCAATGAGAATATTAAAACATACTGCCGCATAGATGCAATTTGACAGAATTTTACAATTTTGTTACAAAAAATATATTTATTTTCATTAAAAAATATGACTTTAACACTAATTTTTATGGAAAGTGCCCCCACTTGCCTTCTTAAACAGCCAACCATTGTAAAACGTGATGGCTGACCAGCTCAACAGAACCAAACCAAAACTAACTAACCTGCAAATGCATGCTGGTAAAATCTAAGCAGTTTTTTTTTTCAGCAGGGAAGGTGTAACTGGCTTTTCCCAGCTTGTGTATGCGGATGTTTTTTTAAGCCTTTGTGGAATATGAAATAGACTGATGTTCTTTGGATCCATCCCATTGCCCACCACCACGGGAAACAACAAATACAGCTGCATGCACCGCCTGGCAAATAGCGCCGCACACAAGCGCACACCCACAAACACACACTGCGCTCTTGATCACAACCACCTACCATCCCACACACACTCCATACGCGGCTGCGCTCCCACACAAACACACATCAATAAATAATTACACCGACAATTAGATGGGGAGCACTCCAAGCATGACCTGTTAAGAGATTTGCAACCTACACACATAGTCGCCATGTGAAGGGGGGGGCGATTAGTCATTTTTCTTACTACCCAGTTAACTGGCTGACTTATTGATTTAAAATTACCGTCACAGAGAGCTCATACAGTTGTCTACACTTTATTTGGCCGCTCACAAGGCCTCGTTTGATCTGAATAGCTTACGTTAAGGCTACAAAGAATGCAAATTTTGCCCCATTAAGAGCACATTCACAATGGGAACATCCACACAGGGACCCAGTGATACGATACTACTATCGGATACAGAGATCATGTTCTTGTATAACCCAGTTTCGGTTCCACCACTTTAATTTCTGGTTGGTTCTCCACAATATGAGCAACTACCAAATACTGCAAAACGCATCTGTACTCATTTTTGGTCTCTGAAAAGGTATTGGTGCACACATTTGGAATGAATAGATATTTACAGTTCATTTTCCTTTATTGTTTCCCCTTTACAAAAGAAAAATCGACAAAAGATTCCCTTAATCTCAAACCTGTGTTCCGAAGCACAATAAATAAGACTATGGAAAAACGATTAGCCCCGAGGCTATTGAGGTGGATATAGTTTCATCAACATGATTTTTCAATATCCAGTCATCTCTAATCAATACCCTACAGGGAAGGAGGCACAGATGGGAAGCCATTAAAGCGTAATCCAGTACAATATCTTTTTTGCCTGTCCGTGAAAAGGTCCCGCGTGGACTTGTTCTCTCATTTCCTTGAGCAGTTCCTCAGGGATTCCGAAAGAACAGCAAATGATATTCAATGTCATGATTAAAATCCCAAAGTCTTTCATCTGGGAAGTTTTCAATAGCATCTGAGATTAAAAGACAAGACAGAAAATCTTTCAGCCTTCAGTCTGAGGGAAAAACAGAGCTGAACACTAGAAGGATAACTGCTAGCAATCAAAATCACCAGGCAAGTGATCAACCGAGATAAGTGATAATGTAATTATGCAAAGAAGCAAAGGGTAAGGAGTCGGTCCTGGTGTATTTTCGTTCATCAGTTAAACAACAATTTGTCTCAGTGCACACAGAATCAGCTAAAAGTCGTTCAATAATCATGAGATGTTCTCCCGAGATGGCGATTCACACTGTTTTCAAGTACGGAAATTTATTGTGTGTCGTCGTTGTGCTCATTAATATCATCTGTGGACACACAGAAAAACTCATTAGCAATGCTAATATGTTTTTGTTTTGGCACCCCCACCCCCTTTTCTTTCTCTTTTTTTTTTTTTTTTTTACAGGCACAATTCAGATGGTTGGAAACCAGCTTGCATCTGGCACAGAAGGTGACCTGGAACTTTTAAAAGTTCCTCTGTTGTTAAAGCCACCATAAAATCGAAACATTTGAGGGAGAGTCTGGCGCGCGAGTCGCATGGAAATAGACGGAAAGACGCAATCCAGCAGAATAATCTCAATATCCTGCAGATCGATATAGGTTTGAAAATATAAGACTCGCATCAGCATCTGAATAGACCACTTTGGCAGCAAAATCAGTCGTCTTCTTCCAAATCCATGGTGCCTCAAAATGCTGCATCATAATGTTTTATTGACTCATTCTAATCCCTTGCTGTGTAAGAACAAAAGTGTCCATTATAAACGTCAGTTATTTTTTAAAGAAAAGGCCAAATAACTGAATAACAGTGGAAAAAGTTCCAGATGAAAAGCAGAATAGAGAAGAGAATAGGTGAGGAATTATTATTTGACTCTGCTGACGTATCCTTGATGGATTGCAACACAGTATAGCAGATGGTAATCAAGCACCATCATGTACGGTTTCTCATTTCCATATATGCATTTTTACCATGAGCAATATGGGACAGGTGGGCAGAAGAAAGACGTCAAAAGCGCTTACTGTGTGTCTGTCTGATTGCACGCATCTCTCGCCGTCTCGGCTTTCAGTCTGCCTGCGTGTGTATCTCCCCTAAAGCTTTCTGAATTATGAAAGTGTGCTTTGTGATTGGAAAATGACAACATTAATTGCTTGTAAGCAGAGCGCGGAGGCAGAGGGATTTTTGATCATGCGCTGATTGTGATGGGCTATAAATGAATAACACAAGGTGAGTGAGGGTGAATTATTCATAAGCTGGAAGCTCCTTGCCGGTGGAGGACCCTCAGAGCGTTATCTTTTCATCCAATTCAGCCAGCCGTGCCGCCATCATTACCAAGGCAGATTGCTCCAGGCCCGTTATTATAATGGCAGCAGTTATTATCGTTAATGCCACTGTCAGTTATTCGTCGACGCAGTCTACCACTGTGGCCATTCCACCCTCAAATTCTGCATTAGAGGTTAGAGCATATGGTTTACACTACCCACAATGAACTATAAAAGCAACTGTTAAGTCCATGCAGGAGGCAAAGTATGGCCCAAAAACGCATTAGACAAGTACGAACACAAATGCGATTTCCAAAATGTGTCGGAAGCCAATTTAATGCGTAGCACAAATAAGCATTGCACTGCAACAGCAGGCATTACATTAAGTAGTTTTTCCGATTATTTTCATGACAGAGCAAAAGAGGATAGTTCACCTTCAAAAAAACTAATTTTCTAACATCTATGCATTGCTTACTACTGTAGGACACAAAAATCTCTTGAAAACAGTCTCCTTACAGAATAAAAGTCCCAAAATGTGGCCCAATGTTGATTGGATCCCAACATTTTTCAAAACATCTTCTTGTGTCCGGCAAAAGAGAAAAATGCGTACAGGTTTGGAATGACATGACGTTGAGTAAATTGCAGTATTTTTATTTTTGGGGTGAACTATCCCTTTAACATGGACACAGCAGAAGTAGGACAATCTTCTTTAATTTTCTGCCAATTTAAGCTCAGTTTTGATTTTAATCAACAACACTTATTAACAATATCAAGTATATAAAATAAAATAATAAAATTAAATAAAACCTGCTTTTGAAAGAGAGACTATGACAGCTGAATAACATCAGGACTCTTTAACTGTGATATGAAGTCTGATAGTGATTACTATTCAGCATTTGATGGATGGTAAAATAAATTACTGTCTAGTTTGAATTTTAGAGCTTTGATGTATGTGCTACTAAACATTTGATCAGAGCAGATATTGTTGTTATAACCTGAAGCAAATATTACTTTTCTCATTTGGGGCATTTAATAAAAGTTGTCGTTGAAATGTAATAATTCATAACCCACTAGTGCTATGACAATATACTGTAGATGAGGTGTCATGGCATGAGAATTGTGAAACAATAACTACATCACTGAGACTGCATCATATATATCATAATACTACATGAGAAGTCCTTATCTGTCTCCCTCCCCTTCATCTTCCTTTCTTTCATAATAACCATCTCCATCCTTCTATTTTTTATTACTCTCACAAGTCTCTGACTCGCTCCATCAGCCAAAATGTGTTTCCTCTTGTATGTCGGAGTAAAGTCGAATCACCCAGGAACATGCTGCACATAAAATAAAAGGGAGGATTTGGACTGTTCTCTGGGAATAATCCCCTCATTCTCTGCTAGAGGATTGTGTTCTGTGTCCAGCATGGCTTTTTCCTATGAGGGCCTATGTAGAGAGTGGAGCTAAGAGTGCTGTTGATTAGCAAGTAAGCTATGCGCCTGCACACTAACCTCTCTGTGGCTCTCCGCATTGTTCTGACACTCGAACAAAGGTCCCAAGAGGAATTGGACAACAAAGACAGGACAACTTTAAGAGTTTAAATCAATTAGCACTTGAGGAAAGGGACACATGTGGCAAGAGAGTGACAGGGTCCTAATCCTATAGACTGAGCTAATGATGGTGGCTAGGCTAGTTAATCTGAGGGTTTCCCTGTTAAGCAACATTGAGATTCTCAGGGCCTGCATCCATGCACATGGACAACACATTCCCAACTGCTTTACCACACCAATGATTTGGAAATAACATGTGTACTATAAAGAATGTATTGATTGCTACAACACCCATCGACACTGGGACCGCGTTGGGGGACTTAAGTTACTTCAATTCATTTGCAAACAAGTCGGGACTAAAATCAACAGAGCACCTGGCATCTTGCTTGTTAATTTAACAGTATGGTAACACTTTATTTCCACTGTCCACTTTAGACATTCTACTAACTATCAGTAACTTTCCAACTACGTGTCAACTAACAGTCATTAGAGTATTAGTAGTCTTCTTAATATCAGTGTACACTTTATTTTGATGGTAACTTTGGAAGTACACTAATTGACCAATTCTACCAACCTAACGGTCTACTAATACTGTTGAGAGTTAGCTGAGATGTAGTTGCAAATTAATAAGAGTTATGTATTTGCATAGTTACTAATAGTAAGTATAATGTCTAAAGTGGACGGAAATAAAGTGAAACAAACAATGTAGTTAGTAAGTGTGACTTACTGAATTGATGCAGTTCAGTTCCTTGTTGAGGAGCCAGGGCAGGGACAGTTTACCTTCACCCCGGTAGCAGGATTGGATCCTCTCCTTAATCTTTTCCTTGATTTTACGTAGTGTAAACAGGCACAGGGCGGATTCTTTCGGTGGCTTCGACCGGTTTTTTTGGCCCTGAGCAAAAACAATAAACAGCACCTCTTCCTGTTCAGAAATGCCTAACGACCGTGCCAGCTTGGCACCAGGCCGACTGAGGTAGGCGTCTTGAACCAATCGATATTCCACACCATCCTTGGTACAGCCAATAGGAAACTCCACGTAGGAGTAGAACTTGGGGTCATCCACACAGAGGCGGACAATCTTGGAGGTGAAGAATTGTTCACCACTGGCATCCGGCGAGGTGAGTTGGGTGTCCAGTTGGAGAGTTAGGTAGTAGATGAACTGCTCACTGCTGAAGCCATAGACGTAGTAGATATCAAAGGTAGGGAACTTGGAAAGGGTGTCGGATGGAATCTTGAGCTGTGATGAGACAAACTCATCCTGGTAGACAAAACTGAACATTTCAGCGTTCTCCTCATTAGCCATCAGCTTACGACTGGAGAGAGTCGGGAAGTACTCTGATTTTCCTTCGATGGGTGTACCTACAAACAGCTTTCCGCTGTCTTCACCTTGGGTTCCACTAATAACCACTCCTGACATAGTGCCAGCCTCGGACACACTGGAAAGGTAGTGCTCCTTGCGGTGATGCGGCTCACCCAGTTTGAAGAGGTCATCCAGTCTGAGGAACTGGCATATACCCTGCGAGGTGCTTCCACATGCAATGAGCCTGTTCTGCCCTGAATCCAGAAGCAACAGCTTGTTGACATTGCTAGTCTGCGATAGCTCGTGAGGGCAAGACTGAACACCAGGTGGTGGGTAACATTTCTCATTATCCACCACAGGGCCGGTAACATGGCTTCGGAGCTTGGTCAGGTTTCTGGAGAGCTTGTAGATCCAATTGACAGCACCGACGTAGACTTCACCCGTTTTATTATGGACGACCAAATGCGTAAGCCCTCCCTCTGGTGGGATGAAGTTTCGGAAGGAAGAGAGGTTAACCTCGAGCCCCCCATTTTGAGGGACGAACGAGAGGAAGAAAAGGAGGAGGAAAGCCTCACAAATAGAGGCGGGAAGGGGCCTCCTCCCATACGGCAGCATTTTTAATATCTTTCTGAGAGGAAGCTGTAGGCCAGGTGATCCGTTCACCTTTCTGATCCTGGGTCTGGAAAAAAACCTGGACAGCGTCTGTCAGTCTACGTTGAGGAGAGCAACTTATTGACCCGGTGTCCTTTCTGCTCTCTCTCTCGGCACGGAGCTGTCGTCTACACCATCATCTGCAGCGCCATGGCCGCTAGCCCTGCAAGGGTAGAAAAACACATCATGAGTGCTGGGGGGGGGGGGAAGTATAGAACATTGTCTATTGATTTGACTAGAGTTTAAAAGTTCTGCCTGCCCAAAAGAAACAAATAACCCATAATACATAAACATAAATATCTTACAGTGGGGCCCTGGGTGGAATCCTATACAACATTTAATGAGTGTGTCAAGCTTGCAGACAGCAGTGCACTCCACAAACTCCACACTGAGAAAACGTCTGATAGACCTGCTGTGCCCCTAAATATTTCACACAGTCTGTGCCAACTCAGCTGGCACAAAAGGAAAGCAAAGGAGCGAGAATAGAGTAGGAGAGAGTAGAGGTGAGGAATGAGGAATGAGTAAGTGATGCCATAACTGTAGACTAGTTTACCAATTCACCTTGAAGAACACCATAAGCTCAGAAGCATCAGCAATAAACACTCTCATTTCCTCACGCTTGCACAAAGAAGCCATTCAAGTTGACCCCGCATAAAATAAAAGTACTTTCCTTGAACTGCGGGAAGATTTTAAAATACCACAGTACAGACAACACGCCCTCTTGGCTCGACCAGAGAGCTGCGGAAAGAGAGACAATCCATCAAATTTGTTCTAATTGAAAGTCTAATGAAATTCATGTGATCATGGGTGATGAAGAGGAGCTCTGGGTGTCCAGCTACATCCTCAGAGTGCAAAACCACTTAAACAAGGGCATTCTCAGGCCTCTCATCTAGCCAGCAGCAGGGACTGTCTGCTGCTGTGACCTTCTCCAGTGTTCAAAACAGAAGCATCATTGTATCTCAGATGACATTTATCTCACTTCACAAGACTATTGAGCGAGGAGACTGCCTTTGGGTCTCATTCACCGCTCAATGCTGTGAGCCATACTGTGGGCTGACTGTCATGCGCAAGGCTACGAAATAACTATGCAAGAAAGCAGATACACAGGCTGGCAAAAACTCATACATAAGTACACATCATATACTGTAGGACAGGGCTCTTCAGCTCTAGTCCATGAGTGCCAGTGTCCTGCAGGCTTTAGTATCAATCCCAATGTAACTCACCTGTCTTTGATTTGAAGTCATTTTTGAAAACCTTGATTCAGGTGTGTTTTGTTTAGGGTTAGAGCTAAACTCATCTGGACACTGGCCCCCCAGCAATTGAGTTAAAGGGATACTCCACTTTTTTTTTTTTTTTTTTTTTTTGAAATAGGCTCATTTTACAACTCCCCCAGAGGTAAACAGTTGAGTCTTACTGTTTTCGAATCCATTCAGCCGGTTTTCTGATATTTAGAAGAATATCAGTAATCAGACAGTTTCTGGTCTCATTGACTTCCATAGTATATTTTTTTCCTACTATGGAAGTCAATGAGACCAGAAACTGTCTGGTTTCTGATATTCTTCTAAATAACAGAAAACCGGCTGAATGGATTAGAAAAGTAAAACTCAACTGTTTAACTCTGAGGGAGTTGTAAAATGAGCCTATTTCCAAAAAAAGTGGAGTATCCCTTTAAAGAGCCCTGCTGTAGGACAATCGAGCCCGTTATCAAACTTTGGCGTCATATAGGTGCCGCCATATGACATTTCGTCGAAATACTACGCACATGGCATCTTTAGCATCAATATAGCATGCAGAACCCAAGGCGTCATACAGGTGACTGGCATCCCAACGCATTCTCATCCCAAAGCGCCATATACAACGCTTTTGCAAAAGCGTAAATATCCAATGCACATGGCACACTTTAACGTCTAATGAGACGCTTCCGTTATGGTTAAGTTTAGGTATGGTGTAGGGTAAGGGTTAGACCACCAGGGGGCGCCTTCTGCCCAAATATATCTGCGTCTCATTTGACATTAAAGGGTGCCATGTGCGTTGGATATTTACGCTTTTGCAAAAGCGTCCTATATGGCGCTTTGGGATGAGAACGGGCTCGGCATCCTTTAGCGTCAATATGAGATGCAGACCCTACCCCATACCTAAACCTACCCATAACAGTGTGTGTTATATTAACGCTAAAGTATGCCATGTGCGTAGTATTTCGACGAAATGTCATATGGCGTCACCTATATGACGCCAAAGGATTAGAATGTGTTGGACAATCTGATAGACATCACAATTTGTAGTATGGGGGGAAAACTTATTCATTTTTTTATTATTTTTTTTGTGGAATTTTAGTTGATAATTTGGAAAAAGACAAAAAGGTAACCGCTTATTTTTTCAAATTCAAATTGATCAATTATTGTAATGAGGCATCAGTGAATATTTTAGCAATTTTGTTACAATACAACAATACTGTATTGATATTCTCAAAAGTATCTTTTTTTTTTTTTTTACATTTATACAGTTGGCAGATTTAGCATTTAGCCAAACAACTTCCTGGGAATCAAATCCATGTCCTTGGCGTTGCTAGCTCCTACTCTTTGAGCTACAGGAATGCACAAGACGTTTTAATTTGAAATTGTTGGTAAAAAAAAGAGAGAGAGAGAGATTCAGAGTCTGCAAGAAGACAGAGTTTAAAGTATCAATAGATTTCGTAAGTGCATGCAATATTGAAAAAAAAAAATCAGCACAGCCCTTAGGCACTGAAACAATTCCCCCCAAAAAAGAAGAAGAGAAATACGATAAATAAAAACGGCGTAATTGGAGGCACTCAGAAAGAATGTCTTCTAAACAAGTCAGATTTTCACCTATTTTTAGTTTATACCGTTTCACTGTATTTGCTGTGTAATGTAGTGTGCTGACAGGGGTCCAAATTTCTCTCCGTTGTATTGATCATCACAGCTGAGCTCTTCTCAGCTCAACTGACTCAGAGTCAGAACTCCTAGGTGCTTTTTGGCTCTGTGATACAGGGATACTGTCAAAGCTAATTCCCAGCAGTAAAAACACAGAAAAATTGCCTATAAATAACCAAGTAACTAACTAAATAACTCCACAACACACTTAAAATTGAATTTAGCAGTGCTGCACCTGACCCATTATCAACTATAAAAAAAAACAAAGCCGTCAGAGTTTTGACTTATCTGGGACAATATGCTAATGAGATGGCAGAAACTGCTTAAACGCAGATCCAAGTGTCCACTTATTTTAACTCAGAAAATGAAAAGAAAAATAAGAGAGAGCGAGAGACTATAGCTAATAAACTGAAAATTCAGCAAAATGTATCCATGTGCTGCAATTTAGAATACTGCACAGCAATGCTATTTTGCGTGGGATAGAGCAATTAGGATATCCCACCCACTTGCTCCAAAAAGGCCCACACCAAGGATGAAGGTGAAATTGGATGAATCAATTAGAGGAGGTATGGGAGTTGCATGGCACCTTCAGGATAGCAAAACCTGCCTGGCTAGGAAAATGGCTGGCAGGACCAAGGTATCTACGATGATTTATTGCTTGTGGCACATAAATTACAGCACAAGCCATGAAATCGGCACCTCATACTTAAGCAAATTTATACAGAGTGCCTCTTTAACATGGAGGTCACATCGCTGAGCATTGTGGGGTAGAAAGCATGCAGGACTGTGATGGCCACAACTAAACCACCCAGAGAGGCTCCGCATAGCAGAGGCTGCTTTCTATTACAAGCACGCAGACACACTCACATACATCAATACATAGAGGCCTTAATCCACAAACACACACAAGCTGGGCTTTCTTTATTATTCTGCTTCTGTCTTTATGTCTGTCTGTCTTTCATTCATTAATTCTGCCTGTCTGCATATCATTTTTCTCTCTTTCAGTCCCTCCGTCCACCTCCAATTAAATACCACCGCTATTATCAGGTGTCTAAACATGAAAACAGATTCTTGACTGCATAATAAAAGGAAATCCGCAATAAATACAATTTATGCAATCAAATTAAGATTTCAGATTACTGTGATGAAATTAATGCACAAAACGGAAATGTGTACAGGACAAATATTTAAATATTATTACTGTTAAGCCATGCAGGCAAACCAAAAACCAAACCACTGAAAGACTCTGCTGATAAGAAAAGAAAAAAAAGTGCACCAGAAAAAAAACAGCTACACATTTGCAATGATATTAACACAATGCCACTGGTACGCTTTGATATAAGTCAAGATATTAAAGTCAGAGAGCCTCGATTTAGCCTACAATTTAAAAAAAGCAATAATAAACTCAATCCAGCTAGATATTTTAACAAAGCTACACTGACTGTGATCGCAGGGGATAATAGAGGAAACAATGGCTTGTTGACAGCAGGAAATGATTCGCAAAACAGTCTTGGAAACAACATGTCATCTCATTCAGCTAAAAAGATGATATAGCAACGCAAGTTTTTTCAGTCTAGGTGGCCAATTTTCAGTGTGAATGCTGCAATGCTAAATCACAGACTGTGCGAATGTTATGAGGACGACGATTGAGAGGGACGCAGCAGGCCTGGCTGTGGAAATAACTTCATGCCAGTGAGGAGAAATAAAAAAGCTGACGGCAACAATGGTGGTTAAAAAACAGGCGACAACGACTGCAATTTCTACCGTTCCTTAGCTTAGCCTAATGTACACATATTTTAAAAGGCAAAAACAGCCCAATGGTAACTGTTCCCGTGAGAGCTGATGGCAAGAAACTGCATATTCAACAGATTTAACAAGTGAGGCAGAATATTTAGCAGGAATGAAGCTGAGAATAAAGTAATTCTTAACTGCTATTTTCTTAAGAATAAATGGAAGAACATGTTGTATTATGAAAAACTTTTCTTTAGAATAATTGTAAGAAATAAATTATGTCAGAAAAAAAAGACTAAACTTAAAATTGAATACGTCTGCTCTCGCATCAAATGTGTGATGGTGCTCTCGTGAACGCGTGTTGGAGATGAACATTAAAAAACTCAAAAAAGATGAAGCACTCAAAAACTTTATAAAATTGTTAAAATTTTACCTTTATAAAAGTTAAAGTTAAACCACTGAGAGTCATATGGATTATTATGGTATCTTTAATACCTTTCTAGGCCTTGAAAGTGGTAATTGAGGCTGTTAATTGAGGGAC